ACTGTCAAGAAATACTTAGGATTCCTGAATGTTTGCTACCATTCAAAAATTGACAGCGAAGATAGAAGATGCAAAAGGCAAATTTCTAAGTTCCTCGCTAACTCACCAGGAAAAATTAGAGCTCCTGAGAGGTCATCTTCTATATTCAGATGAACCCTTTCTCCCAATATGAATCACATGAAAAACGTAGCAAAGTGAAGAAAAAGCCATCATTTGAATGCAATGTAGGCCTAAAATTTCTCACAGCAAGTACAGGAGGGACAAACAACTCTGGCTTCCTCCTGCTTTCACTCTTGGCAACCAAACTTCACTGGAGATTTTTCAAGTTCTTGAGCCAAGCATATTTTTCCTCCCACACTTTGCTTAAAGTGTAATTCCACCAAGAAGGGCATCACAGCATGGCAAAGAAAGTCCTGGCGTTTAAGAGATGCATGCTGAAGCATTTAAAAAAGTGACACATGCCTGCAGCTGACTTTTGTATGGGGCAAACACACACACATACCCACGCAGATGCATGCTTGTGAACACACAGCCATTCATGTACTCACAGGTACCCAGTGTGGAGAAGACATTAAGCAGATGTGGCCAAAAGTTAACAAGCAGTGGCGCTAGGTGAGGGAGAGGCAGGTGTTGGTTGTTCTATTCTTTTACTTTTCTGCAGGCTTGGAGTTTTTAAAATTAAAGTAACAGGGAAAAGAAAATCTGAATCCTTCAGCTCTCGGGTGGTGTCTATCAATGGAAGCTGGGCTTAAGCACCATCCTCCTGTGTCTTCCTGGGCCACCCACCTCCCAGGGCCATCCACCTTCCAGAGCCTCCCAAGGCTGCAACTGTTGAGCAGTCAAAATGTTGCTCATGAGGCAGGACATCCAAGGCCCTTCAGACTCCAGTCCCCTCTGCATCCCAGCACCATGCAAACCCTATCCCCTGTTGGTGGCTTCCTGGGGGCTGCAGAGGACTCCCCTAGAGTGGCTGGAGGAGCCCTGCACACTGGCCACCCTCGGTCCTGGCCCAGGATGGCTGAGTGATCAGCGCCACCTAGCGGTAGGACAGCAGCAAGCCTGCCCATCCCTCTCCAGACCCCACTGCACTGTGGCCTGAGAAGGAGCAGGTGGCATAGGCAAGCAGACAGCATGAAGTAGGAACTCAATAAATGCCAGTGAATGCATGAGTGGCACGGGTTCAAACAGAGACCAGAAAGTTTATATCACTATGGTTTTGAGAAACCCATTTGACCTCTGGAAAATGGAGGTAACGACAGCATTTTGGGTGTTGGGCGTGCAAGTTCATGGGTGACAGACCCAGAAAAAGGCAGGGGTATCAGAGAAGCTCCAGAGATGGTGACCTTTGTGCAGGACCCCTCTCCTGCAGGGGAGAAGGGAAGGTTGAAAGTGAGGTGTCAATGCCCTAATTTCAAAGACTCAGGTGCAAGGACAAGATGGGCCCAGAGTGGGGGAAAGGAGCCTTGTCCTCATTTCTACACCAAACCTGGCAGAGCATTACTGAGACAGAGATGGTGTCACTTTCCAGACTGTGGTGAGTCACAGTCCTAAAGAAGGGTCCAGAGAACAGTGACTCCCAGAGCTCTGCCTACAAACTAGGGTGAACTGGGAGGCCCAGCAGGGAGGGGCAAACGCAAGCAGTTAGGGAGACTGAGCAAAGGAACGTGGGGGATGAGTGTCAAGGAACAAAGGAGGGGAGCTGGGAAGGGATGCAGCACTGAGTTTGGCAGCCTTTTACCAATGATACACAAACAGGATCCTGTCATAACTATGGACAGCCCAACGCCAGCCAAGGAGTTTCATATTTGAGTTAACCAAACAAGGATACAAAGATGATCCAGCAGGCAGAACCACAGGCTCAAACCAGCAAAAATAAGGTCAGGTAGAAACAAATAGAAAGCCCAAGATTCAGGATGCAGTCCCTACATGTGGAAAATAGGCGCTGGATTTTTCTCAAACTCTACTGCATCCAGCTCTGATGTCATGCTCTGACTCTTAGATGCTTAATCTCACTCACCATGAGGAAGAGAAGGTGTGCAAGTCCATCCATGCATGCAGAGCATGGTGACTATGGTTTATAATACTGGATGTGGACTTGAAATTTGCTAAGAGAGTAGATCTAAAGCACCTTCACCACAAAAAATAAAATGTAACTATGTAAGGTGGGAGATGTGTTAATTATCTTGATTGTGGCTCACACCTGTAATCTCAGCTACTTAGGAGATGGAGATAGGAGGATCCGGGTTTGAGGCCAGGCAAAAACAAAGACCTTATCTAAAAAAATAACTAAAAACAAAAGAACAGAGAAGTGTGGTTCAAGTGGTAGAGTTCAATGTCCAGAGTTCAATGGCCTAGCAAGCTCAATGTCCAGAATTCAAACCCCAGAACCATCAAAAAATTTTTAATTTAATGCAGTACTCACCTCACTATATGTGAATATGTACACTTTGAATTTTCAAAGTATTCCTCAATAAAATTGGGGAGAAGGCTCATGCTCTTAAGCAATCTTTCCATCCTATAAATTATCCTAACTTGTTAAACTAAAGCAATGTAGTCAGGAAGGGCAGTTAGGGCCTGTCATATGGAATTCTTAAGCAATATAAATCATAGGCACCCACAAAGGTGTTGCCCAGCTCTCCCTGGGTCATCCTGTAGAAAAGATTACATGGCCAAATACATTTGGAAAAGTTTCAACTTTTAGAGATTTCAAAGGATGTTAGCATATTAAAGGCTCTGAGAAGTCACAGTGAAGAAACTTGACTGTTCCCAAAATGTTTCTGACTTTGGATAACTTTGATATACACCAGATTTTGAAGACTTTGAAGGAAGAATATAAAATATCTCATTAGTAATCTTTACACTGATTACATATTGAAATGATTATATTTGGATATACTAGGTTACATAAAATGTATCATTAAAATTAATTTAGCTATTTCTTTGTACTTCTGGTTTCATTTTTTTGAGACAGAATCTCTGTATCCCAAATTAACCTCAAACTCCCAATCTTCCTGAATCAACCTCCCAAATGCTGGAATTACAGGCATGTGTCATCACACTGGGCTTATCTGTACTTTTTTAACGTGCTAATAAAGCTTTGAATTGCATGTGTGGTTCACATTTTGTTTCTGTTGGATAGCACTATCCCTCTCCCTCAGGATCTAGTAGATAGTAGAAGCATCACAACATTGTCATTTTTAAGATAACTATGATGGATGTCTTTATTTCTGGAAATCCACCCAATCCAGGCTTCTCTACCTCAGCTTTAGCATAGTGAACTGCAAGTGGAAAAAAAAAATCACAGTCCAGTGCAAATGTGGCACAAGCCTGAGAATGCTGGTGTTAAATTATTTTAAAAAAGAAAGAGAGAAAAGACAGGTCTCTCCTCAGAGAAGTGTGCGATGTCAAGGGGCCTACAGAGGACCCAAAATTAAAGCCACCCCAGCTGACCCCTTATGAGCATTGCCTCCCTCGTGCAGATAGGCCAACCGGGCACTGTGCTAGACAGCTTTCTATCACTGACAAATCAACCTACAGGAGGAAAGGTTTAGTGTGGCTCATGGTTTCAGATGTTTTAGTCCATGGTCAGTTGACCCACTACCTTTGGATCTGTGGTGGCACTGTACATCTTGGCAGGAACACAAGACTGAGGAGGCCTACTTACCTGGTGGTGGCACAGAAGCAAAGAGAGAAGCAGGAGGGGCTGAGATTACCATATCCCCTTAAGACCACGCCCCCAATGACCTAACTTCCTCTTTCTAAGCCTCACCTCCTAAAGGTTTCACCAACTTCCAATAGCAGACTGAATGCCATCTCTTGAACACATGTCCTTTGGGGGACATTTATCCCAACCAGGACAGGGGCCACTGCTCCTGGAGCCTGATGAAGGGAAATTGCTGGTCCAGGTTAAGAGTAGGTGGTCAGGGAGGCATCAAATGGCTCATTCCTATCCCCCAATTCCATCCCAGCCTCACTCACTGTGAAGGACTGAAGGACAGACTGCGGGACTGAAGGACAGACTGTGGGAAGTCCCAAAAGGGCGATAAGTGGTCAAGGAGACACTTCTCCTCCCTAAGAAATGCCTGTTTGCATTTGAAAGGCATCTCCACCCTTAGGCAATGCAAACTAGGCTATAAAACCCACTCCCCACCCTGACCTACGGGATCACCAGTTTCCGGGTCCCCCTGCATTTTCCAATATGCAGTCTTTCTCCTCTCTTTTCTCCAACTAAATTCTCTGCAAATAAAATCTTCCCGACCTCTGCTGTTAGAGTCTGTGCTTTCATTCTCAGAGCAGGCTCAAGAACCCTGAGCATCTGAAATTCCTGCGCCTGTCATCCGTGCATTAACTGGGACTAGGTGGCACCTGACCAGAGGCTGGCTACCAATCTGTGGCATTGCCTGCTGGGAAAAAGATGAGTGTGATTTAGTGTCTGTTCTCAGATACAAGACTTGGAACAGGGAATCACGGAACAAAGAATTTGGCTGATCACTGTTCATTCCAGGTCTCTGCACCTTTAGAATTTTCCTAATGTTATTCATGGTGGTTACCTTGGGCCACAGCTGACAGTTTATGCTAATAAGGTGACTCAGGATCGGTCTGGTCACATTTGAAAGACCAACAATCATCAGCCTGACCAGAGATTGAGTCACATGGACAATGGAGACCCCAATAAAACTCTGGACAACAAGGATCAGGTGAGCTTCCCTGTCCAGCAAAACTGCGTATTATCATACACTGACATGCTGGGAGATGTATGCCTGGGGAGGATGAATCCTCATCTTTGGGGTGCCTTGACCTCATGCCAATGCATCTGTCTGTCCCTTCAGGTCTGGTTTGTATCTTTTTTCTTTAAGTGAACCAACTGTCAATTTATTGGCATCATTAATTTATGAACAGACAGGTAAATCCCCCCAAGAAGAGAGATAATTTCAATCTGCCATAACTTGCTCATAGTCCTCACCTTGAAAACATAGCATTTCTTGCTTTGGTGGGGTGGATTATTCCTTTTTCACTTTCACAATTCTTATGCTGCTGCCAGAAGTCTTCTCGGCATTTGCTTTGAATTCCGTCTTCAGTGCATCCCTCACTGCCTTTGCACAGATATGGGAATATCAGATGTAGCTGAATCCAGCCTGTCTCTAGTACACCCCCATGGTGCCTCCACTTCGATGTGTTGGGCTGGATCGTGAGGAAGCTGCATAAGGGGCCTAGCCCGGTTTGTGTCCTTGTGTTAAATAAAACTGCAGTCCTTCCTGCTGTGGTTTCCTGAGTTCTGTGAGTCGTTCTAGAAAATGAAGGAACCTGAGGGGTGGTGGGAATCTGAAGGGAGGGTGGATTGGGGACTCCCCTCGCCCAGATCCCTCCTCCCCATGGCTGGGTCTGAAGGAAGGGCAGCCTAATGGCTGACTATGCTTCAGCCTGTGGAGTTTGGCCCCGCTGGTCATTGGTAGCAGAAGTCAGTGTTTGCCAACCCAGCTGTGCAGATTCTCCTGCTACAGCTTCCCCACGGCAGAGCTGTGGGGGTGGTGTGTGCTCAGGAACCCCGTGCTCCTCTGGAATCATCTATTTATGGAAATGGTTTCTACACCCTGGAGGAGGGTGAAATTCATCTCTCTAATTTCCACCAAAGGCTGAAACATCTTTTGTTTTTGTTTTCTTCTTTAAAATAATCTTATTTTAGGGGGCTGGAGGCATGACTCAGGAAGTAAAGCAGCTGCCTAGCAAAATCAAGGCCCTGAGTTCAAACCCCAGTCCTGCCAAAAAAACAACAAAACAAACAAAAAAAGCTTATGTTTTAGTTTGACCATATTTTCTTGCCCACAGATGACAATTTGGAACATCCCCAGGTTCCCTTGGGGAGTCATCTTAAGGTCACATGCCAACAGCAGCCCACTGTCATAATAGACCCAAGCCACCTACAACAATTATGACTCAGGCGTAGGGTGTGGGAGAGGTGGGTACCAGAAGGGACTGCTGAAGCCACATGGTAATCCTAGGTTTTCACTAAGCATGTAATTTAAAAATCCATGTGTGGTGATATTAACACCACTGCCTACTACACATCTGACACTCAAAAGCCCATGCTGGGCCCTTAGGGAGCACTCACCTTTGGTCATGGGGGCTGGGGGTGACTTGTGGGGCTCTTTCCTCCTAAATTAGCCTCCAGCCAAAGCCAGACTGGCTCAGGTAGAGTCTGAGATGAAAGGAGCCAGTAGGGGGCTCTGGGAAGGTTTTTATTATGTAACAGCCAAAACAAAACAGATGCACAGCTGGTGCTCTGGGTCAGGTCCTTGTGTCACACCAACCAGCCCTGTTCAGAGCTTACCTGCCCTGCTTAAATCTGTCTGCCCCCAGACATGTCTTGTGTCTTGTGTGAGAGACTGGGGCTGCTCTCCTCACTCTGCATCCTGAAAGTACTGACAGAAAATATTGGTGGACTGGGAAGGAGAAAAGCAATGGAGGAACCCAAACAAAAAGAGGCCTGGGATGAATGACATTAGGAAACATTCTCAAGCGAAGTCTGGCCCAAATACGGTGGACAGAGGTATGAAAACCCTTGCATTACAAAACACCTAAAAATGTAAGAGGCGCTCAAACTGCTTTTGCTTAAAAGTACTGACTCCTTACTTGGGCCCATAAATTAACTAAAAACGGGAGAACCTTGGCATCCGTGCCTCTATTTTGTATCTGTCTTTGCTCTAAAGCCATTCTCTTTGCAGTCACTTTTCAATCACCTTGGATTCCAGAAAGGACAGACTGATAATATCTTTATGATAAGGGACTGAAACTTCCCATAAGGAACAGTGGAGACTTGCAGGGCAGACCACCCCTCCAAAAGAGGACAATTTCCTGTAATGATGAGGATGCACCCTGGAGCAGGAATATTCATCTCATGGGACCAGATTTCTCCCCTCAAGTGATGACAGCGATAACATCTTCTCTAGATGCTTCTCGGGGACCCTTGGACTGAGATAATGGCCAACCAGAAGCACACCTGTGACCGGGACTGCTTAACTATGCATTCCTTTGTCCCCTGCTCCCAGTTATTTTGTCTACTTAAACCTATAACTCATGCCTATACCCCAAAGATGGCTGAAGATGAGCCGAGTGTTCACTCTGCCTCTTCCCACGGCATGTCCCGGCCATGCATTAAACCTCCTTTCTCTGCCTTCACCATGCTTCTTTATTTGGCATTTAGGGGGCAGTGGCCAGACCTGGCATATGGAACCTCAGGAGTTTGGGCCTTGGGTCCAAACTCCAGCTTTGTATATCTGAATAAAATTAAGTGTCCTTTCAAATGAGTGGATGAGTTCACAGAAAAGAAAGGAAGGCTAGAGAGCGTGTTAGTTTTCTATCACCACCATAACAAATGCCTCCAAACTTATTGGCTTACCACAACACAAATTCAGTTCCTTACAGTTCTGGAGGGCAAAAGTGTAATGTTAGTGTCACTGGCTGCATTCCCTCAGGGAGAATCTGTCGCTATAGAATTTTCTGATTGTAGAAGCCCCTCGTAGTCCTTAGCTGTGCCCCTTCCTCCAGCTGCAAGGCCAGCAACATTGCATCCCCAGCTGCTCTCATGTAGGTGCTGCCTTCATCCCCTCTTTTCCCCTCCCTTCCGTACGTAGGGACCTTTGTGATGGCATTGGTCGCACTCAGATAAGGCAGGGTACTCATCCAGTCTTAAAGTCAACTGATGAGTAACTATAATTTCATCTATAGGCTTAATTCCCCTTTTCTGTGCCAAAGGAGATCTAGAGAATTCTCCAAAGACTAGGATGTGGAAGTCCTAGGGGTGGGAGGGGATGACCCTTCCTACCAGAGGGGTTTTGAAGAAACCAAGAGTTTTAAAGAAATTTCCCAGAAGGTCACTCAAAAGAGATGAAGAGACGAAAATTTCTGAAAGAAAAGATAAGGTATATGGAATGAGAAAATCAACTTATGTTTAGTATAAGCTCCTGTAAGAGAACATAGAGAGAGAAGAAAAGCAATATCCAAGATAATGACAGAGAACTTTCCAGAACCGATAAAGGACATGAATCTTCCCATACAGAAATACAGGGAGCATAATAAACTGTAAGTCAGATAAGTAAAAATAATGAAATTGGAGAACTTCAAAATCAAGGACACGGATAGCCAGAGAGAAAATGACAGAGTGCCTACAAGATAAAAAGAGACTGACGTCACACTTCCTGATAGCAATAACCAACTCCTACAGACAACAGACTAATATCTTCAAAGTTCTAAGAGAAAAAGCCCAACACACTGGGGTTTCTTAGCCAATCAACATTGTGATTTTGATTTTACAAATGGATGGGTTTCACTATGACGCTTCCATACAGGCAAACATCATGCATTGGTCATGTCCACTTCCTCCCGCCCTCCCTGCTGTCTCCCCACTTGTCCCTTTGCCCTTCCCTACTAGTCCCTCTTTCACTTTCAGGCCATCTTTGTTGTTGCTGTATTGTGTTGTTTTGTTAGTTTCCACATATCAGGAAAAAACATGTGATACTTGTCTTTGTGTGTCTTGCATAATATGGCAATCTCCAATTACATCCATTTTCTTATAAACAACATAATTTCATTATATTCCATAGTGAATTATACCACATTTTCTTTATCTATTCATATGTTGACAGAACTGTAGGTTTTCTGTTTTTGTTTCTTCTCAGAAGACCGTAATTTCTGTATGTCTTTGTTTAAATCGTTTTTACATTTACTCACATGTGTATACATTATTTGTGTCACCATTCCCCCCTCCCTCTGCTTCTGGGCAGAACTTGTTCCACCATCCTGTTCTCTGATTTTGTTGAAAGAGAAAACATAGGAGATAATAAGAAAGACATAGCATTTTTGCTAGTTTGAGATAAAGATAGTTATACAGAGAGATTCCTGGCATTGTTTCCATGCACTTGTGTATTGCAACTCACAACACAGAGCTGTCATCTCTGCCAGACAACTTCACTACTTCCTGGTCACCTTCCCATAGTGGCCTCTGTCAGTTTAAGATTACTTTATTTACTCCTCTACAGTGGGCCCATCAACCACTTTGAAGTTTTAGGTTTCCTTCCCTTTCCCTATTCCTTCTGTATGTATTCTCCCCTTAGCGTGTGACCCATGTCCAATATTACTGCATTTGTTTTAGATCTAAAGTCCACATATGAGGGAGAACATGTGATTTTTGGCCTTCTGAACCTGGCTAATCTCGCTTAGGATGAGATGGTGTTCTCCAATTCCATCCATTTACTTGCAAATGAGGAACCAGAGGTTTATTCCATAACTTGATTATTGTGAACAGGCCACAATAAATATGAGTGTGCAGATATCTGTATTATATGCTGACTTTATAATATAGTTTCATACGCAACTAAATTACTCAGGAATGGGAGTGATTTCCAGGTCTAGCTAAAACAAAGAAAACCAGGGGACAGAAGGATATGCTTTTAAATGATACCTGAATTAAGATTAGCAACACAGTGGGATTAAGATCACAGAATTAAGATCAGCAACATAGTGGGAAATTCTATAGGACTGCTCAGTTTCTTCAACAAATCAAATGAATTATAAGGAATTAGATAGAGACCGAGAAGAGAGAGAATACAAGATCTGTAAGAAGTGCAACAGTCCATCAAAAGGAGAAAGTACAATAATGGTATGGAGGGAATAATGACGGAGGAGATTCCATTTTGATGGGGGAGACATTTTAGAAGCAGACATCTGAAGGAGCATGAGAAACAACAGGTTTCTCAGAGGAATAACAGGCCTTTTATCAAGATAACAGAATGCAGCTGCAAAATGTGGGTGGTGGGCCCCAAGGCCAGGATGAGCTGACCAGACCTTTTTGGAATGTTCTGTTCTGTAAGGATGGGGACAGGCAGGTGGACTGGGTTCAGTGGGGCGTTGACTAGGCACCAACCAATCACAAACATAGTTTCAAGGTAGAGTAGTTGGAACCAAGCCAGGCAGAGCCCTATTGCACTCCTAGACTTCAGCTATTCTACAGCATAGCTTTTCCTAAATCCTCCCACATGGGAGCTTTGCTGTCTTTTCAATAAACTTTGTACTTGCTTCACTCAGATCCTGGTCCAGCATCTTCAATCATCAACTTCATTAGGACATAAACTCAGGCTCAGCAATCCAGTATCAATGGGAA